ATCTACTGGTGGTTGCAGATTCGGGCATCGGCTGCGCGAGGAGCGCGGCCCTCTGTATAGCGGCCTTGCCATCGGCACAGATGGCAGCAACGCGTAGAAACTGAAGGGCGAGAACGAGTTACAGCTTTCTGTAGACCCTGGCAAGGTCCGATGAAATCCAAGAACTTCCTGCTGCTCCGATCACGTCGTCGTAGACAAATCCTTAAGATCCTTCCAGTTGTGCAAGAGCTGCAAGAGTCGGTGCAAGGGCTGAAACATATTGGCGGGAAGCCACAGTGCATGGAACAGCCGAAATTGTAAAGAGCGGGATACAGACTTCGATCTGCATGCCCGTTGAGATCCCCCTCCGTGTGTGAGGGGGGGACGTTCGAACCTGCAACATTTCAGATTCAACATCCCCCCCGTGCCCCAGCAGACAGTAGTTCTGGAGCATGTCCGGCAAGCACTGCGTGTTCTAGGGAAGAAATTGGACAGGTAAAGATATTCTCGCAGAAAGATCTTGCAGGTATCCAGGACAATCTCTGCAAGCACACTTGCCGCAACGTTATCAATCAGCTGGAATTGGTGCTTTCCTACTGCTGCAGGAGAAGGAGCAGCAGTCTAGAGAGTCTAAAGTCTTACGGAGCGGTCGTATCTTAGGGCACCAGAGGCGCAGAAACCAGCTGCATGCGCTCCTCAATGGCAGACCAATATCTTCACAACCAACGGAGACAACGGAAACGAAAGCACTGCAATTTTAGCTTCAACGTCTGAAGTTGCAGGTTTGCCTCCGACGCTGCCAGACGGCGGACTGCAATGTTGCACTTGGGAAGGTCCTCCCCTTCATGTCGCGTAGCAAAAGAGGGGATCCCCCTGAGTGTGTGAGGGGGGGAGGTTCGAACCTGCAACATTGCAGATTCAACGTCCCCCCCCCCCACCCCCCCTGCCCCAGCAGACAGTAGTTCTGCAGCATGTCCGGCAAGCACTGCGTATTCCAAGCTCCAATTATGTGCGTGCGACCTAATCGAGAAGGCAGCATGACAGGTATCCAGCCGGAGGCAAGATTAAAGATTGAAATGACCACAATGCACCGCAAGCTCTGATGCACACGAGCAGGAACGTGGGGCGGAAAGGTGCTCTTACACACAGGGTTGCTTGTGGCCCGACGTTGAAGACACCACAAGCAGTCAGCATTAATGGAGCTCTTGGATGTTTGAGATGATGGGTTGCCAGGGATGGCGTCAGGAGCCCCGCTTATGAACAGCCGCTAGCTTCCCGGAGCCTTCTTCTGGGCTGGGCTACAGCCGAGCCTTCGAAGAGGATCGAAAAGGGACCAGCTCGCCATTGGCCTCAAAGATTTCCGATGCGGCCGAGAAGCCAAGGACGAAGAACACACGAAAGGAGATTGTTGTTTCGCGGCTGGTGCGCTTCCTACTGGCTGACCAATATCTTCACCTTCAACGGAGACAACGGAAACGAAAGCACTGCAATTTTAGCTTCAACGCCTGAAGTTGCAGGTTTGCCTCCGCCGCTGCCAGACGGCGGACTGCAACGTTGCACTTGGGAAGGTCCTCCCCCTCACGTCGCGTAGCAAAGAAGGGGGATTGCGACGGTCAACTGAGCTCCAGACTGTGGCCGAAAGCCTGGGCTGCACATCTTGCTCCCGCAGGCTCCATATCAAAACCAGAAGGGAACACGACAAAAAGGGAACATCCGCCTGCACGGCCACTTCGAAATGCACAGAGTGAAGAAGGTTGCGGATTCGGGCATGAGCCGCGCCAGGAGCTGTTGCCCTCTGCACTGTCTTCTCAACCCATTGCATCAAAGAAAGACAGATGGCCTTGGACTTGTGACGGTCATGCCAGTTCCAGACTGACGAAAGGTTTGGCTGCACATCTTGCGGCATGCCCCTGCCTCAAAGACCCGCAAGGCACTGCAAGGGCACGAAAACTCAACAGGGAAAACGACACCACAGGGGACATGCAGCTCTTCGGCTGCCGGAAACTCACGGAGCAAGGAACACAACGCTCAGGGAGCACTCAACTGCACAGCTGGCGACTTCACGGAGCGAAAGCTGTGCCGAAGTCGGGAAGGGTGCTTCGAGGCTGTACTGGAGCCTTATCATCGGAAGGGACTTGCTCTTTAGTATTCCTTGGCACGATTGGCGAGAAACGTCCAACCGCTCTTTATTGGAGGTGTCCAACATTCCCAAACGACAGCTGAGAAGTCCGATAGCTGCAATGGCAGAATGTCAGGGAGGCTCGTGAGACGGTTCGAGCTGCACCAGGCTCCACGACCGCCGAAAAGACGGCGCACAAGGCAGCGTCCCTAACTGAAACCTCCGCAGACAGAGTCCTGCAGTCCAACAAGCAAGGCATGGAAGTCCGAACCGCGCCGCACATCAGTTTGACAACTCCCCGCTTACGCCTGCGCAAAGGCTCGGCCCACTCGGACGGCGAGATCAGTAGCAGGGCTGCTTGAGTTCAGTCCGGGTCTTGTCTGCAAATCCTGCACGGCGGAGGCACAGCGCACGGGCCTGCCGGTGCCTGCAAGACGCTCGGAGGATCAGCCTCCCACGCAGCCTTCAAGACAAGCAAAAAACCAAGATACACGGAGAACACCTAGCTACGCCGCTGCTTGGAGCCCGAGAAATCCGCTGAATCGAATCGAAGAGGCGGCTTTGGACTTGTGGCAGTGGAGAAGGCCCCAGACCAAGCGAGGCGGACGAAGCCTCGGCTGCACGTCGTGCGCCATGCCCGCACCTGCAAGCAACTGCCGAAGAGCATCAGCCTCCCACTCCCGCAGGCACGGCCCCTTAGAAATCCAAAGAGTAAAAGTGGTTAGGGGCTCGGACATTCGCTGCAGGATTTGCTTCGTGATGCGACAGCGTGGAAGGTGCCGATCACGATGAAAGTCTTGAGAGGCTGCAAATGGGAAGGGGAGCCGTAGACAGCTGATGCGCAACGGCGCTTGCAAGCCAGGCTTCAAGGCAGGAGCTTCAGCGAGGCTTCGGCCGGCAGACACGCGTGGGAACTGGAGGCACCACAGCCCTGACCAGACGCACCGCTAGAGGGCCATCTTGGCCATCTTGGCCATCCCGCAAGGCACTGCAAGGGCACGAGATCTCAACAGGGAAAACGACACCACAGGGGACATGCAGCTCTGCGGCTGCCGGAAACTCACGGAGCAAGGAACACAACGCTCAGGGAGCACTCAACTGCACAGCTGGCGACTTCACGGAGCGAAAGCTGTGCCGAAGTCGGGAAGGGTGCTTCGAGGCTGTACTGGAGCCTTATCATCGGAAGGGACTTGCTCTTTAGTATTCCTTGGCACGATTGGCGAGAAACGTCCAACCGCTCTTTATTGGAGGTGTCCAACATTCCCAAACGACAGCTGAGAAGTCCGATAGCTGCAATGGCAGAATGTCAGGGAGGCTCGTGAGACGGTTCGAGCTGCACCAGGCTCCACGACCGCCGAAAAGACAGCGCACAAGGCAGCGTCCCTAACTGAAACCTCCGCAGACAGAGTCCTGCAGTCCAACAAGCAAGGCATGGAAGACCGAACCGCACCGACTTGGCTGCACATCAGTTTGACAACTCCCCGCTTACGCCTGCGCAAAGGCTCGGCCCACTCGGACGGCGAGATCAGTAGCAGGGCTGCTTGAGTTCAGTCTGGGTCTTGTCTGCAAATCCTGCACGGCGGAGGCACAGCGCACGGGCCTGCCGGTGCCTGCAAGACGCTCGGAGGATCAGCCTCCCACGCAGCCTTCAAGACATTGTTCCTCCACTTGAGGCGAAGGGTCGGGTGCAAGCGCGATGCGCATAAAGTTTCATGACTAAACATCACCACAGCAATCACTCACAAACAGCATCTGACGCGCTCTCTCTTTTGTGCAGGATGGAACGGACCCATGCATATCAGCAGCAGGATGCATCACCCAGCACGTTGATCCGGGCGAGTCACCCCTGGTGAAACGAGTGAATCCAGGCACATAGTGCCCACGTAGTGGCAGAGCCTTTGTCAAGATTTAATCGGACTGACAAGAGAATTGTCAGTGGCAAGCCAGCGCCAGCGGGCGGCAAAGCAGTTTCAGCAAGTGCTGAGGTATTAGAGGGACCTAAACCCTAGGGAACACAACCACACAAGGAGCCGGGACAGACACGGGCAACCGGCGATTAGGGGAAATTTTGGGACGTGGCGGGCGGGCATCAAAAATTTCACGATCCGGTCTCGAGCAACGCAGAGCAAACAATGCCCAATCAATTGGAAAGATGTCAAATCTGCAAGGGCTTCACCACACTCAAATTTGCCAAGTACCGCATGCCAAATCAAATCACTTTCAAGCAGAGTTTTTCGAAAACACCCACAAAGCTTTTCCACAAGTTGCCAAAGGCCAGCATCCAACGTTCCAAGGAGCGCCCACCCACCCCCCCCGACTCAAGTAACGGAACAATCCCCCCGGGAGGACCCGGGTAGTTTGTTCCTCCACTTGAGGCGAAGGGTCGGGTGCAAGCGCGATGCGCATAAAGTTTCATGACTAAACATCACCACAGCAATCACTCACAAACAGCATCTGACGCGCTCTCTCTTTTGTGCAGGATGGAACGGACCCATGCATATCAGCAGCAGGATGCATCACCCAGCACGTTGATCCGGGCGAGTCACCCCTCCCGCAGGCGTCCGGAGCGTCGTGCCCCTCCTTCCTGCAATCAGTTTCACCACGAGGTTCTCTCCGCCAATTTCTGCTTCTTCGAACTCTTCATCTTAGGACCTGAAGATGCCCGTGCCAAAGACTTAGCTTCAAGGAAATCCTCGTGAGCCGCGGCAAGCTCTCGCATAAAATCCATCGGAATGTCGTCCCAGCTAACCTTGACCCTCTGCTCACTGTCAAACAAGGCAAAGTTTTCGTTAGTCAAATCATCCGCCTCGACATTAGTCTCCCGCGGCCGCCAGACCAACTTCATCTGAGCTCCATGCGGCTGCAGAGTTGCAGTGACTTGCATCAAGATGCCAAGAAGTGGTCACGAGGCAGAAGAACCCCGGGCCTGCGCCTGAGGGGTCGCCTGATTGTCCGTGCCACCAACCAGCACAGCATCAAAGGTATCCCCGAATGCACGTGAACCCTCAAGCAACCCGAAAGCAACCAATGCGACATACGATGCAAGCAGCTCAGCAGCCGTCGAGGCCCACTGTGATTCTCCATTCGGCTTAAACAACCATGGTGCCTCCGACGGGGAAAGGGCAAGAGAGAACCAAGGGGCCTTCCGGACAATTCCCTCCTTGCCCAACAGCCAGCCACCCAGGACCACACGATTCGGAGCACATTTGGCATCGGTGCGAAAGGCCTGGCGAGAAGCCCGCCAGTCTACAACAGGCCGCACCAAGCGTCCACGATCCTGCAGCTGACGCCTCACGAAGATCAGGCACAGATAAACCAACACAGGCATTCGAACCGCCGTGCCTCGGGCGAGGACAGCGCACCATGAGTGCAAGGGGGACAAGAATGGCTTTATCCAAGTCAGCAAGCGAGCCACAAAGGACAGCCTCCCAGCGAGCTCGATCACCGACCGCCCCACCACGATCCAATCAGCCTGCTCGGCTTCCAGAATCCACTTGACCAACCACGAGCACCTCCGCTCGGAGATGCCAGCCCTCCAGTCAGTGTATGAGATTTCATATCCCACAAAATCCACAACAGTACCACCCCGAAACTTACGATAGGCAAACGGCGTGCCAACCAACTCGTAGGCAGCCAGGCACATCCACATCGTGAGGAATTTGTGTTGTCCAGCAGTCAAGAGGTGAAGATCATCCGCAAACACGACTTGCATCTGCCAAACGGTCAGCATGACCCTGTGCACCCAACGGCCTATGCAGCCGAACAAGCGGGACCAGTGATAGGCCGCAGAGGAAATCCCAAACGTGCCGACGGTATTTACCCAAACCGTACGCGCCTCACTGCGTGCCTTGCATCCAAGCTTGGCCCAATCGGCACGGCGGATTTTGGTCAAGCGGTGAGCCTGAGCGATATCTGCAGAAATGCAGAACACTGCCTCTTTAGATTCCTGCCCCAAAGCCACCGTCTCAAGGATTTCATCCGGCCCCGGCATTTCCAAGCGATCGAGTATCTTGATACGATTGTTCAAACCAATGCCATGAGTCCCGTCGTGCAGCGGACGGATGTCGCCATTCGGTTTAAGTAAGGCACCCATCGATGCCACCAGCAACGTGTCACCATACTCTGCCCGCAGGGCAGGTTCCGTGCTCGGGATCATGCGACCGGCCCGCTCTTCCGCAGCAAAATGTTCTTCAAGCTTATCGGCTGAAAGCTCCGCAGACTCATAGTTATTCATGATCTGCTGGAAAGGGGTGACATCCAAGGTCCGCTCCTTCACACGCTCCCGGTACACCTGCGGCGTACGCGGCAAAGGGACCTCGTCACCCAGTGGCACGCCCGTCGCAAAGCACTCCTCCCCTTGTGTGAGACATGCCCAATCTGGATCGCCCAGCAACTTCAAGGACTGCGACAACAAGTGCAACAAGAAAGGCTGGCGCTCTGGGACCTGCAAAGCCAGATCCGGGTCTGGCAGCATGCTTGCAACCTGCTGCCTCAAACGCTGCACGCCCTGTTCACTAAAGGGGGACGACTTCATCCTTCCGACAGCCAGTTGCAAAGCAGCCTTGCGCAAGTCACCAACCTCCTCTAGCACAAAGTTCCGGATCGCCCTTTGCACCCGCTCAGCATGCTGCCACTCCTCTCGACTTGAGAGCATGCCTCGCTGTTCCGGACGCCAGCGCCCCGGAGAGCACAAGCCGAACCCATCAACAAACATGCGCCCTTTCGGGTGATTGCGGCAATTAATGGGCTGACCAAAACAACGACTCGTGGCCTGATCGAAGACATCACTCTCTTCCTCTGCCTCCTCCCAGTCCGACATGTCTGCAATCCCAAAACTACCCGGCTAAACCTGAAGGGGAGGAGGAAACCCCAACCGCGGCGGGAGCAGGACTAGCCACCGGGGCAGCGTTATGAGGTCCCGTCGCCCTTTCCTTATCAAACCCTAAAAGCCCACCAACCTTAGATGCAAGGGGCGTCCCCGCATCGGCGACAGGACCCGAGGGCTCCGTTAAGGTCACTGCTGTATCACCCCGGGCAACGCCAGCAGTGACTGACGGCGGGAGCAGAAAGCCCAATTGCGAAAGCAAGGACAGCGAGCTCACATCAAGAGCCTGCAGTTGGCGGACGCAGTAGCCAACGAGCACCACCCGAGAACCTCCAGACCAGGGTTCAGTCTGATGAAAGCGCTCCCAAGCTCGCAGAAGCTGTGGTGCCTGAGCGACATCCAAGAGGATCCCCGGACATGGCGTCCCATGCACCGTGCGCCAGACATCCCCATTCTGATCCTGCTGCCAAACCTGGCCATTGGAGAACGTCGAAAGTGCCAGCAGAAGATTTGGATAGGGGGCATTATGTGAATCCCGATGCATCTGTGTGGCGGCATCCACAAAGACCGCAACAGAAGAGAAGATCTGGCCTGGAAAAGCATGGCGGAGCAAAGCGCAGAGGACCCGAAGGGTGGCCGGGAATTCGCGGCAGGACCTACGAAGGCCAACAACTCCCCCTTTGCAGTAAGCCCCGCCAAAGAAGGCTTGCCCAGCCGCAGTCTGAGCACTGACATGCGGGGCCTCCAGTGGCAAGAGGGTTATCAGCGCTTCAGCATCGTGTGGCGCAGGGGGCCTGTCCTGTTGCAAGAGAAACGTAGCAAACTGTTCAGCAGCATGCTGTTCCGGACCATCTGTGCCAAAGGAAGCAGAAAGTGCCGAGGCAACCAGGTCAGCAAGAAAGGCACAAAGCGGGGATGGATAAGCTTCAGTACCTGCAGTGCGCCACTGGCCCGATGACCAACCAGCCCCCGGTCCGTGATGGTGATCACACCGAAGGATGGGCCCTGCATATGTGCCATCTTCCTGAAAGGAGGGCCAAGAAGACCCAAAGACGCGAGCCCCAGGCAGATTCGATGCCAAGCGAGTAGGTTTTGGAGTATTTGCGGAGTAATCGCACTGGCGGAGGCCCCAACAAGGGGCGTCGCCCACTGCAGTCCGGATCTGAGGCCATTGCCAAATGCTTGCTGGGTCATCGCCATTGGGCAGACGACCCAGATCTTCCGGATGTTCAAGCAACCAGAAATGCCCCAGCGAAGACATGAGTTGAATCATAGCGGCACACTGCTCAACGAAGAAATTATGCTCTTGCACCAGTGCGCGGTGCGATGCAGACAACCAAGGAAAACCAAACGTATGAAAGCGGGAGCGCAGTGGTCGGGGTCCGGAGCCATCCGGCCGAGATCTATATCGGGCGCGACTGAAAGTGGAACATGGAGGTGACAAGATCACCACATCCCAAGCGCCCGAACGAATTTCCCTTTCCAATGAATCCCAGAGAGCCTTTTGAGAAAGGTCAGACTTAGTTCCATCCCGACAAATGTCAATTTCACGCAAATTCAAAGTGAAACCATGCACCTCAGCCAAGCGACGCAAGTGTGTTGCGAGGTCTCCGTCACGAGGCTTGCCAGCAAACAAGTACAGCACCGAAAGTCAGCTCTTCGCGCCAGCTCCATCTGTTGCCCGCGAAGCACCATGATGCTCCATCCAATGCTGCCAAGTGGGATGTGGTTTGCCGCAGCCGCGGACCTGACAGCAATGTACCATGCCACAGCTCCCGTCGCAGCCGGCCCCACTATAAGCAAAACAGATGAGCCGATTGTCGGGCGTGCGAGTCACAAGATCACCACCCTTGCGGTCCTTGCCCTTCTTGCCCGACTTTGCCTCCTTGCCCTTCTTGCTACCCTTAAAGTCGCCCTTGCGATTTCCTTTCTGCCACTTGTCCCAGGGTTTTCCCCAGGCTGCTTCAGATTCGCCACCGGGTTGCCAAGGACGTTTCCAGGCGGGCTCACTGCGACCTTGAAGCGCAATGGGGGACACAAAGAATTGCTCTTTCAACTGAGCATTCCCTTGAACCTCTGCTAATGTATCCACCAGTGCTCGCGACTCACGGAAGGCCTTCTTGACAGCTTCGCGACGCATCTCATACTCGTATGTGAGCAGCACCTGCCACGGAGGACGAAGTGGTTGTTGATCACCTTTGCCCTTTCCCCCGGGAGTCGGGACTTGCATCAAGTAGACTTTGTCCCCCAACAAGTAATTGACATAGTCGAGCCACACTGCTGGAGTCATGCCACGAAACATGGCCTGGTTCCGATACTTGCTAGCCAGGAAAGTCCACATGTTCGCCTCAACGCGCAGGACAGTACGGAGCTCCTCCGTATGAGCAGGCAGACTTCCTTTGGCTTTCTGACGAACGATGCGAACATGTCCAGTCGTGTCCACACTGGTTTGAATGCCTTGAGTTTTGGCCCGCTTCTTTGAGATCACCTCCGAAAGCGGTGAAGCCGCCACTTCACCAGATTCGACCTCCTCTATCTTGGCTGACAAGTACTCCTCCGAAGGCTCGTAGGTCTCTTCAATGGATCCATGAACAGCTTCGAAAGCTGCCCGCATAGCCTGCTTCTCTGTCTGGGTCACTGGCCGCACCACACCTAAGACCCGCGCTTCTGCCTTGAGAGATGCCTCCTTGCCAGCATACTCCTTGGAAGCTTCCCAAGCAGCTACCACAGAGGCCACCACGGCCCGGGAAGCTTGATCCGTAGCATCCAGAGTGTGATCAGTCCGAAGAGCAGCCCGAACTTCCGCCCTTGTATCAGCATAACTCGCAAAGCGTCTCACAGTACGAAAGTTGATGCTCAAGCGGTATTGCAAAGGCAGAGGCACCCCGCACTCCTGGAAGATATGCCGCAGATCCGATGCCACCTCCACATCCAGATACCGCAAAGCCGCTGCCTCATCGATGCCATTGGGGTAATCGAGCGGACCGGGCGCGCCCCCCGCCATGCCTGTGGTATCACTAACTGCAGTAAAACGGACAAACTCAAAAGAAACCTTCAACTACACCACCAGAGCTAGCGAAGGGCCCTGATTTACAACACATTCCAGCCATCCTGTGACTGCACTGAGCTACATCTCAGTCCCTTGCTCTTGATCACATCGGCACATCTTTCATTCGTGCTCGCAACGAGCAACGTGCCTCCACCATTCAACTCAATCATTCCGCCCTTACGAATGCAAGCAAATGCAACAGCCAACAACACTTTACGACTCAGCGCGCAAATCACCTTCCGAAGCACTACACTAGCTCGAATCATCCAAGTCCGGAACTTCCGCCGGTCCCGGAGGCTCCCCCTGTCCATCATTCCCCGGAGCCAGCGAATCTTCCGATCCACTGCTGGAAGACTCCTGCGCCGCAGATATCTTAGGCTGGCAGAGTTTGCAGATCGCATCAGCAATGCCCTCCGAGATCTTTGACACTCCCACAGTCTCCATACAGCGCTCTTGTCGAACTGCACAGGCCTTGGAGAGATGCAAACGGCGGAACCCGGAGCGAGAAATTGTCACGAAGAACGGCATGTCCGGAAGCGAAGATTCTTCTTCCCCAGCATCCTTATCTTCAGCAGGCAACTCAGCTTCCAGGCGTCCCCGCGAAATCTCGTAGCGCTCGGGACCCACCGCCAGCAAGGGGTGAACACCTCCGAGCTTCCACGTGTCATCGGTCCACTCGAGGACCTGATGCCACATAATCACTTGAGTGCCATCCTGCCCGGCTGCATCGGCAAAAGACTGGATAGACTGAAAGAGCTCCTCCTCAATCAAACCACCCTCTGCAGTCCCTTCTACCAAAGATTTGCAAACGAAGTTCTGTAGTCCCTGCACGATCTGCCGAGCAGTTGTAAGATAATCCAAAGAGCCGCCTTGCGAGCATCTCCAACGTCCAAGGAAATCGCACTTTGATTTGTCCGCACCCAGCGAGAGTGCCCATGTTGGCAGAGTATGCCGCGCAGAATGACCTGTCCAATACGCGGCCACCGACCCAGGCAACAGCTTCGTGGCACTTGTTCCCCAAGTGCCCTCGCGGCACAGGGGCACCCGAAGCTCCTTATGCAATCGACGCAGAAGTACAGCCAGATCCTGAGCCTCCACATACGAAAATCCAACATTCCAGGATTCATCCATCGCTGGACATAAATAATCCCGCGACCAGTGCAGCTCAGCCGTCTGAAGCAAGCGGTACCCCTCCAAGAGCCAATCGAAACCACTCAAAGAAATCACTCTTGACACATATCCTTGCAGTTCGCCAGTACGCCGGCCCGGTCCACTGGTCTTTGTCCGGCGCAGAATGAACTTCAAGCCGATCTGCGACAGAGTGACTGAAAATGGATCAATGTGTTGCACATCATCGCACCTCATAGTCGACCAAAGCATGAGCAGCTGCACAAACGCAAGAAAACGTAGCCCCGCAGGAAGAGTAGCCCTGCAGACCGTCAGCTCACATGACAACACCATAGCCACAGTAAGCACAGGCGCCTTCCTGACCGGCAAAGCCACTGTTTCGAGCTCTTCAGTCCAGGACTGGATCGTGCTCAAAAGCAGTTGATCCATCGAAAACCTGCTGCTTGCTGGCACCTGCCCAACACTCTCAAGCACTGATAAAGCTGCCATAAGCGAAGATGGTACAGTCTTTCCCATTGGCTGAATATCATGTCGCTCAGTGAGATACTTTACAAAGCGATCAACTCCTCCCGGCCAGCTTTCGCCGAAGGTAATCTCAAGCCACGAATGAAACTTGCGCCATGCCAGAGCACGATTGCGGAGCGTCTTCCCACGCCGAGTGCCGAATAGCCGACACCATGCTGCCCGAGGATTGGGCAAAGCAGCCACCCTAGCAGCGCAAGGCAGTCCAGCTTCCTCAATATACTGCGCAAGCACAAGAGCCCATTTCTCGCGCAGCAGAGCCTCACGGTTCTCGCCCTGCGCGCCATGAATCAGCTTCCGTTGTCGGATCGACTTCTGCAGTACCTCCAAAGCTAGCGCCGGACTACCAAGCACCAGGCCACTGAAAATCTCCTCTTTGCTTCGCTCCCGACGTGGGAACTTGACTGGCCTACGTGGGACCACCTCTGCTACTTGCCTGGGAAGCGATACACGTCGTTCCACCGATGCACGCCAATCCAGCAGCCGCCGAACCAGCCGATTTAGCTCGTCAGCAGGACGAGTGCCACCGAAGAACTCCAGCAGCATCTGGCTGCATTCTTCCTCATCATCCCAGGCAGCCACAAACTGAAATGGCCCAGAATAAAACTTGCATACCTCACGAAAGAGATCGCCATCTAACGTGTCAAGCCCATACCAGTGCACGTCAGACATTCACCCAGTGAAGCATCAACCAGACAGAACTAGCAGTCTCAGCGCCATGACTAGCGCCGAAGGTCTATGCTCCCTCTCACATCAAAAATTTCACGATCCGGTCTCGAGCAACGCAGAGCAAACAATGCCCAATCAATTGGAAAGATGTCAAATCTGCAAGGGCTTCACCACACTCAAATTTGCCAAGTACCGCATGCCAAATCAAATCACTTTCAAGCAGAGTTTTTCGAAAACACCCACAAAGCTTTTCCACAAGTTGCCAAAGGCCAGCATCCAACGTTCCAAGGAGCGCCCACCCACCCCCCCCGACTCAAGTAACGGAACAATCCCCCCGGGAGGACCCGGGTAGTAGCAAAAAACCAAGATACACGGAGAACACCTAGCTACGCCGCTGCTTGGAGCCCGAGAAATCCGCTGAATCGAATCGAAGAGGCGGCTTTGGACTTGTGGCCGTGGAGAGGGCCCCAGACCAAGCGAGGCGGACGAAGCCTCGGCTGCACGTCGTGCGCCATGCCCGCACCTGCAAGCAACTGCCGAAGAGCATCAGCCTCCCACTCCCGCAGGCACGGCCCCTTAGAAATGCAAAGAGTAAAAGTGGTTAGGGGCTCGGACATTCGCTGCAGGATTTGCTTCGTGATGCGACAGCGTGGAAGGTGCCGATCACGATGAAAGTCTTGAGAGGCTGCAAATGGGAAGGGGAGCCGTAGACAGCTGAAGCGCAACGGCGCTTGCAAGCCAGGCTTCAAGGCAGGAGCTTCAGCGAGGCCTGGGCCGGCAGACACGCGTGGGAACCAGAGGCACCACAGCCCTGACCAGACGCACCGCTAGAGGGCCATCTTGGCCATCTTGGCCATCCCGCAAGGCACTGCGAGGGCACGAGAACTCAACAGGGAAAACGACGCCACAGGGAACATGCAGCTCTTCGGCTGCCGGAAACTCACGGAGCAAGGAACACAACGCTCAGGGAGCACTCAACTGCACAGCTGGCGACTTCACGGAGCGAAAGCTGTGCCGAAGTCGGGAAGGGTGCTTCGAGGCTGTACTGGAGCCTTATCATCGGAAGGGACTTGCTCTTTAGTATTCCTTGGCACGATTGGCGAGAAACGTCCAACCGCTCTTTATTGGAGGTGTCCAACATTCTCAAACGACAGCTGAGAAGTCCGATAGCTGCAATGGCAGAACGTCAGGGAGGCTCGTGAGACGGTTCGAGCTGCACCAGGCTCCACGACCGCCGAAAAGACAGCGCACAAGGCAGCGTCCCTAACTGAAACCTCCGCAGACAGAGTCCTGCAGTCCAACAAGCAAGGCATGGAAGACCGAACCGCACCGACTTGGCTGCACATCAGTTTGACAACTCCCCGCTTACGCCTGCGCAAAGGCTCGGCCCACTCGGACGGCGAGATCAGTAGCAGGGCTGCTTGAGTTCAGTCTGGGTCTTGTCTGCAAATCCTGCACGGCGGAGGCACAGCGCACGGGCCTGCCGGTGCCTGCAAGACGCTCGGAGGATCAGCCTCCCACGCAGCCTTCAAGACAAGCAAAAAACCAAGATACACGGAGAACACCTAGCTACGCCGCTGCTTGGAGCCCGAGAAATCCGCTGAATCGAATCGAAGAGGCGGCTTTGGACTTGTGGCAGTGGAGAGGGCCCCAGACCAAGCGAGGCGGACGAAGCCTCGGCTGCACGTCGTGCGCCATGCCCGCACCTGCAAGCAACTGCCGAAGAGCATCAGCCTCCCACTCCCGCAGGCACGGCCCCTTAGAAATCCAAAGAGTGAAAGTGGTTAGGGGCTCGGACATTCGCCGCAGGAGCTGCTGCCCTCTGTATGGGAGCCTTCCCAACCCACTGCATCAAAGGAGCGGGGCTCTGTGTGCGACTATGGCAACGTCAGCAAGAAAGTTCTCGCGCACTGAAGCGAGCCACACGGAGCCAAGAACTGCCGAGGTTTGCTTCGTGATGCGACAGCGTGGAAGGTGCCGATCACGATGCAAGTCTTGAGAGGCCGCAACTGGGAAGGGGAGCCGTAGACAGCTGAAGCGCAACGGCGCTTGCAAGCCAGGCTTTGAGGCAGGAGCTTCATCGAGGCTTCGGCCGGCAGACACGCGTGGGAACCAGAGGCGCCACAGCCCTGACCAGACGCACCGCTATAGGGCCATCTTGGCCATCTTGGCCATCTTTGACCTGACCACTCACAGGGAGGCCCTCAGCGCCTCAGCGCCTCAGCGCCTCTGACAGTTCAGAGGATTGACACTGCTACCCCGAAAGACATGATCGGCGTGGCAGGGCCACGCTGGGCCTCAGAAAGCATGCACGGTCAGCCCGCAAGAATTCGGTTGGCATTGCTAGGGGCGCATTGCTTGCATGGGTGCCGACCCTGAAGTCTGCAACAGAAAGCCGCACTTTACCAGCTCGTGGCCCACATTTGCAAGCCTGGGCATGATTCCAGGTCCTTGCGGGGCGTCCTCTTGTGCTGCAGCAGGTGTAGAAGCTGTTGGCGTAGCTTATCGAGTTTGGGCTGGGCAAGCTTGATCGTTTCAGTGCGGAAGCAGAACTGCCAGCCGCACCAGGTGATCTGCGACCCGAAGGCGGCTTTCTTCCAGCTGATCGGGGCCCTGACCAGGGAGAGATGGGCCACGACCAGAGACAGTTGTTCTGGGGCGCGGCTGTGGAGGAGTGCTAGGAGCAGATCATCCACGTATAGCCAGGCTTTGTGGGGCTCGGAGGCTAAGAGGCGGTGCAGTAGGCGTAGGAGCAGGGCCCCGACTCGCTGCCACCAGTAGGCTGAGAAACGGGCGCCGAAATGGCAAACCGTAGGCGTATAGGCGGCCGGGCGTGTTCTGGCCCGAGAAGAGGTCCAGGAGTATGCGCTGGGCAGGCGCCGCGGCGGGCTTGTGCTCCCGCGGGCAGGGCTGCGTGGTCGGCAGTGGGTCTGCCGGGCGTCTCCAGACCAGATTTCTGAAAGGGCGGGCGAGGCTTGTCCTCGGTGCTGGGCGAGCGGAGGGTCCGATGGCTGTGCAGGGGGCGGTGGCGGCGTGTCTGCCGTGGAGGGGGCGAGCCCCCATGGCTTTTGCGGGGGCAGAGCGGGCCTGGCAGGCGAGTTGAATAGTGTAACGGGCTTATCGGGCGCCCGCAGTGCGCCGTGTTCTGGGCTGTGTGCGCACGAGTATACAGTCTTGGGCTTTCGTGGCGTTGCCGGCTCGACGCCCCGGGCTGGTGGGCACGTGGCCGGGTGTGAGCCCAGGGTTGGTGTGCTGTCCGGAGCCGCCCCGGGGCCAACACTGTCCGGACTGTTTCAGGTGCGGCTTTTGCCGCGCTCGCTTGCGGGGTGCTTCTGGGCGCAGCCCCTGACTGCGCAAACGTGGGCGAACTTGCATTCGGACATCTTGCACTGGCCAGTCTGGAACCGGCGGCAGATAGGCTGGCCCTTGTGTGCGGCCACCCAATTTGCGGGCAAGTTGGTGATCTTGCCCTGGCCTTTGCCCCTCCCCTTCTTGGGCTGTCTCTCCGTGGCTTTGTCAGCCTTGGGCGGAGGGGGCGGGGTGTAGGGCGTTTTACGCTTGGTGGGGCTCTCGGCATTGCGGCCTTGGCCTTTGGGCGAGCCCTTTTCTGCGGACGCAGTTGCAGTAGGCTAGAGACATCGTTCCTGATGGCGGTGAGTTCGTGCAGAGCATCGTCGAGGGACCAGGCTTGGGCGACCAGGTCGGCTATGGCGGCCCAAATCTTCCGATGGGCGTTCGGAGGCCCAGCTGTGCTTCGGGCTGTTGGAGGCAGTGCTCTCGGACTTTTTTGTCGAGGGCCTTGAGGTTGTGTAAGTGTGCCGCCCCGCACAGGGCCCAGGCCTTTCGAAACACAGTTTGGATGCGTTCCAGCCATGCAGCAGCAAGGCGCATGTGCTCCACGGGTACTTCGGGTGTCTCGTCGAAAAAGGTGGAGGCGATGATCTGGGGCTTCTGTGCGGATGGGCTTTGCTGTTCTTGCCTCCATGTGCTCTTGGTATTGCCTGGCAGATATAGGCGAAACTGGCAGGGGATCCAACGGATCTTCTCCCCTGGTTTGAGGCTATGGTGGACGAGGCTGAGTAGGCGGATGCCAGGCATGGAGTCCTGGTCGAGTAGTTCACCAGGATAATTGGCCTTGAATTCGTCGACCATATCCTGTACGGCTTCTTGTGTCAGGCGGGGCGGCAGGTGCTCCATCCATTGGGAAGGTTGAGAGGGCATGCCCGAGGCTGAGGGCTGACTGCCTTCCGGTTGGGCCGGGCTTGCGTCTGCTGTTTGGGCTTTCTTATGGCACATGTCGAGGGCACGGCGTAGGCGAGCGATCTCGACAGACGTGTCCAGGTCCCCCTGGGATGGACTGGGCTAGGCAGTGTTGTGGTAAAGGCCGATAGGCGGTCGACACTTGGGAAGGCCCGTGCGAAGTCGGCGATCGTTTGGTAGCCTTGGTCTGACAGGGCTGGGCAGAGCAGGGCGTGCACGTGGCACTCCTGGAGGAGCTCTTGGAAGGCAGTGGGGCAGTCCATGGCTGGGCGCGCAAAGGAGTGACCACAGAAAAGGCCGGGTTGCGAACTCGTTGTCGAAGACGGCTGCGGCGAGCACCTGGCAGAGCAAGGGGGGGCAGGCGGCGGGGCTAGAGAGTGAGGCGAGGGCTTAGGGGGGCAGGTTATGCAAGCGCTTCTTTCCCCCTCCCCATGTGGGCGGTTCTGTGGGCAGTCTATTGAGTCGATGAGAGGGCTTGGAGGGCAAGGCGGCAGGCCTTGTGCACATGCGGTCCTGGGTTGGCTCGGACAGGACCAGGCCCGCGTCCCCTATGAGTATCTCACAGGCGGTGCGCCAGTGAGTGGCGGAATCCACGTGTGCAAGGTGGACCGCTCCCCATGGGCCATTAGCAAGAATGATGTCGGTGGGCTCACGGGCCGGTCTTGGGCTGTGATCCTCGCTGGAGGAAGAATCAGAGGAGGCGGACTCCAGGCTAGAGTCTGCATCGGCGTTGTGCGGCTGGCGGTCCTGCGCGCATTGCATGTGTGTGGGTTCCCTGCGTTACAGGAAACGTGCTAGTTGAGGGTTGAGATGTGCAAAGGCTAGGCTGTCGGGCGGCGGGCCCAAGGGCGTGGAAAAAGGGGGCTCTAGAGTAGGGGCCTGCCCCCCCCGGGCTATAGGTCGGGAGGGGCGCCAACCTTGGGACACCTCGTGGGCAATGGATGATTGCACCCAAAGGCTGTCGACCGTGTCATCACGGCCGTAGAGCTCTGCGCTGCTTTTTTGATGACCGGCGGTGCGTCTGGCGTCCTCAGGTAGGCGTCGTTGCTCGGCTGCGCTGAGGAGGCCCACCTTGAGGCTGTGCAAAGTGAAGGAGGGCGCTTCGGCCGGTGTTGCAGTTTGAGGGGCGTTGGTGCTGGTGAGAGTCATGCTGGTGCGCAGTGCGGGCAGAGCCTGGGCGTAGGACATGGGGCCCTTGAAAGGGAAGTTTTCGCGGGACCGGGAGCCCCAGTCTGGCAGGATGGGCAGGAGGGAATCTGGCTCTGTAGCGGATTTCCAAAAGCTAACCAGCATCGGTGTAGGCATGCAAGGTAGTTGAGGCACCATGAGGTTGCAACTGATCTCGCGACGTTTTGGTGGACCAGCAGAGCCCTCTGAGGGCGTGGGTAGGCTTGACAGGCGGATGCGCTGGAGGTAACCGAAGCGAAGGCAGGCATGGTATGCCAAGAGAAAGGCACCGAGCAGCAGTATCAGCTGCGAACCGGAGGCTGGGTCGCACACAATCTCCTCCCAGGCTGCGACACAGGCCATGGGCAGGGGCCGAGCCTCTCGGCGAGCTTTAACCTGAATGTTCCATCTAAAGGCCTGGATGACTGCGTTGGCAGCGACAGCAGTGACTGCATTTGGGCTGTTCTGGCGAGCCAGGACAGGGCTCGTAGCATGGATTTGGGCGAGATCCGGCATACGTCTCTATCCTGGGCTTTGGGTTCAATCGCAGCGTCGAGGAAGTCGGCGAGTTGTGCCACTGACAGGTGGGCTAGGTTGAGCTGATGGGCTTGGAGAAATTGCATAAACTGGGCGCATGCACCAAGGTAGGCCTCTAGGCTGGAGGCGGCGTAGGAGGCTATGGCCCGTAGGCGGTGCCTAGAAGGTGCCAGGGAGGAGGCAGTGTCCTGGCTGAGCGGCCCTATGGAGCCCAGCATATGCAGCCAGGTGTCACCACAGGTCGCTTTGCGTGCATCCTCCTGACGCTTCATTGTCATGAGGTCAGGTCGGACGCGCTGGCTGGGTTTTGGCATGGCAGGGATTGGCGGCGTTTCGGCGTCTGGGCCGTGGGCACTTGGCAAGAGAGGCGTAGGCCTGTTGGATGACAAGCTCGCAGGGGCTGCCGTATCAGGCAGGCACGTGCTGGGCAGAATGGTACAACCTCTGTACCGTCTGTCAGGCGGCTGGCCAATGAGCAGTCGAGGAGTGGGCTGGAGTCGATCTGCCTGAGTCTGTACGGCCGGGGTCGGGGAAACTCGACCCGCGAGGCCTGTTGGCATCCCCGTCCTCGGAGTTTAGGCCAAGTAGGTCAGTGTCAGCTTCGTCTTTTGGGCCCGCCGTGGTCTCCGAGGTGGTGGGCGTGGGGGCCTGCTGGGCCGGCACGGGCTCATCCGAGGTCGACTGGGCAGGCTCGTGGGCGGAGGCACGGGCGGGTTGCCAAAAGGATATGGGCCCGAGACAACCGTGAAGGACTCATTGTCCATCATGAAGCGGGCGGAGGCGAGGCCACGGTAGGCATGGGCCATCAGTACGTCATAATCGCACTGGTGAATGAGAATCCGGCCCCTGGCATCCCTCTCAATGCGGTAGTTGTCCATGTCTAGGCAGGAGAGGGCGGGCCCCAGCTGGGGTGGGTCGGCTTTGGGCTTGTGCATCGTTGGCGCAGGCTGGGTAGGAGGTGTGGCTGTCGTCTGGGGCGGGTCGGCGTTGCCACCAGGTGGAGCTGGAGTGGGCTGCGTGGGCGAGGGCACCGCGGCTGGGCCACCTGGGGCACTTTCAAAGGTGAGCCAGAAAGTGTCCCAGTCGACCTCCTTCATGGGGCAGAGGCTGGCCCAAGCTGTAGAAATTGTACCACAGCCGGCCCTCCCAGTGCATGAGGGGCAAGGAGAGGCCGCGGTCTGGGCTATTCTTGGCAGGGGTGCCTTTACGGGCACCTCCTTGGGCGGCGCCTCCTTGGGCTGAGCAGGAGTGGGCTGCGGCGGGGGGCTCTGCTCCTCAAGGTCTGGATCCGGGGTGATAAAGGCGGCTGTGGTTTTATTGAGGCAGTCGTCTCTTTCCGCGTTTAGAGGCGTCTGCGGGATCTGGCCCCTGGGCGCTGGGGGCAGATTTGGGCCTTGTGGGGGCGGTGGGCACGGTCTGGGGCAAGGCCTCGAGGAAGGCTGTGGGCACTGGTTGCCAAGTTGCCTGTCTCTCTTGAAGACAAGGCTCGGAAGGGGCTGATGGGCGGCATAGGCTGCACGCAGGTGCCCTGGCGTCGGAAGGTGAGATCGTGACGGCGATCCTGGGATCCAGCTTCCTCCGACGGAGCACTGGGCTGGGCTGAGGAGTTGGCTGTGCTGGGCTCTTGGGCAATCTGGGCGGCGCTGTCCAGAGTGCCCTGACGGCGGGCCAAAGGCGGCGGCCTTGAGGTCCTGGAGCTCCTGGGCTTGCTGGGCTGAGAGCATGGGCTGGGAGGGTGGAGCTTCGCCAGTAACAATCTCAGGCGGCGCTTTGGTAGTGGGCTTGGCGGGGCTCTCATCGGCTGCGTGGGCCTCCTGGGCAGTGTTGGCTGTGGGCGTGGATGGCACTGCAGGAGGCGCAGAGCTGGATGGGGCAGGCACGCTAGACAGTAGGCGCTGCCTGGCTGGCTCGTCGAGCGCAGCCCACATGGCAGAGAACTGGGCAAGAGTGGCTGCGTTGTCGCCGGACATGGCGATGCTGATTGGACAGTGGAGAAGGCGAATGCTGGGCGCTCGAGAGGAAATCGCTGTCGGAGGCATGTTGAGAAGCTGGGAGTTGCAGAAAGCGGGCAGAAAATGCAACTGACAAAAGGCAAAACAACATGCAAGACAAAGCAAGCGTATGCGCCTCTGGGCTAGGGGCATGAAGTAGACGAAAACCTTGTCCGTCATGTTCCAGTCGAAGTAGTCCAACACCTGGGCAGCACGGCACAGAAGGTTTCTCGGGTTGGCAAGCCAAAACAGAAAAGAACCTGGCGGCTGGCTAAGCTAGGCACTGGGCTGACTGACATATGTGAAAGCTGGCGGCATGAACATCTGAGGCAGATGTGCAACAAAGGGGCTCTGAGGCAGAGTCCTTGTCTAAAGGCGCCACGCATCGAAGGCCATGATGTGGGCAAACCTGGGTCAGAGACAAGGGTTGTGCATGGGGGCAGGGGCACTTCGGGCGGGAAAGTCTGAGACAGGCACTGGGCTGGGCTGTCTGCAAGGCGCAGTCACATTTAAACATCCGAGGCAGATGTGCTGGTGCAGTACTCTGAGGCAGAGTCGGCGTTGCTGGCAGGCATGGGCAGGCCGGCGAAGTACCAGCGGCAGTCTGAGGCAGTCCACCAATCGGCAGCGTGGAAGGCGTGTCTGGACTGAGGCGTCAGGCACAACCAGATGGCAGAGGCAAGGTGGCTGAAAGTCTGAGACAGGCACTGGGCTGGGCTGTCTGCAAGGCGCAGTCGCATTTAAACATCCGAGGCAGATGTGCTGGTGCAGTACTCTGAGGCAGAGTCGGCGTTGCTGGCAGGCATGGGCAGGCCGGCGAAGAGTACCAGCGGCAGTCTGAGGCAGTCCACCAATCGGCAGCGTGGAAGGCGTGTCTGGACTGAGGCGTCAGGCACAACCAGATGGCCGAGGCAAGGTGGCTGAGTCCGACCAGGTGCTGGAAGCGGACTCGCGGGGGCAGCAAGGCGGCCACAGGCAGACCATGCAGGGCAAACACGTGGGCGTGTGTGCGCTGGAGAGGCGTCATGTGCAAGGCACATTGTCGGCGGCATGTGAGGTTCTGGTATCTGGCACAAAAGGGCGGAGTGGGCAAGGCAGGCATGTGGCCGGAGGCCGAAAGATGTCGTGGGCCGGCAGGCAGCGGCGGCAGCATTTGCGCTGCGTTGCTCAGGAGATGCTGAGGTGGAGGGGCTTTAGGCCTGATCATCATGGGCTGCTGAGCGGCCTCACGCATGGGCTGTGTCTGAGGCTGGCGAACCTGGGCAAGTGCGAAACTGTGGGCGTAGGCGTCGTGGGCGGATGCTGCAGTGGGATCCGGCCCGGAGTCGCTGCTGTCTTCCGTGCAACTCCAGGGCTCGGTGTCCCAAGGGCACTCGGTGTAGGCACGGTCGGCCATGGGCACGCTGATGTGTCGGAGTGATAGGTGCAAGGCTGAGAGCTGGAAGCCACATGAGCTGCGGGTCGTCACCTGGGCGGAGGGCAAGGGGTGTTGACTATGGGGGCAAAGTGCGTTCTAGGCGGTTGACTCTCTGCTCTAGGTCAATGAGTTCTCGGCGAATTAGGGCTAGAGGATTGGCTTCAGCCCACCTATCTGCAGGAATCTGGAAGGTCCTGAGGGTGGCCAGATGGGCGTTGTAGGGCAGGGTAGCCATACGTCTAGCAATGTTAACCTGCATTGGCATGGGCTCGCAGGTGGCATTGAGGCGCTGAAAATCAGCTTCGGCTCGGATTTTTAGGCCAGGAAATCCGAGGCTAGGCAGTCTAGGTCATCCCTGAGGCGGGCTAGGGCGTTTAGGGCATGGTTGAGGTTATTGTGGGCGGCATCGAGCCGTGTTTGGGAGACCGAGAGGTTACTGCTCCAGCTGGGCCCAGCTGGTCAACACCCATCGAGAGCGCATCGCCTTTCTGCAGGGCACGCCCGTGCGCACGAGCCCGGACTGCCCGCCAAGAGGCCCTCACACGGGACACACTGGATGCCCCTGCTCTCCGGCGACACTGGATGCCCGACTACATCGCCGACAAGATCCTCACAGCCTGCAGTTGCTCCGCCTCTATCGGCCCAGTGCCTTTCTTCAGATGCCCTTGCGCCCACTGGATGCCCAGGAGAGCCTCCCGCCTCCTCGTCTGACTTGCAGCACAACTTGCTCCTCGCGATGGACTTGTTGGTTTTTCAGCACAACCAGCTTCGCGCCCAGGACATATTGTCCCGCATGCTCAGGAAACAGGCTGAGCACTTCAGGAGACCTCCTCTAAGGCGGGATGGTAGGCGGTTCCGATAGGCATGGGACTTCCTGAAGCCATGGGCGCGGGCGACTCTCCTAGCGGAGAGAGAACACCAGGATTACCGGGGGTCTGGAACCTCTAGGCAAAGTCACTACAGGGCGTAGCGGCCTCGAAAAACGCGAAAAACACGATCCAACAGGCCCCAACTACGGGTTAGGTCAGGGCCAGCTGAGCCAATGGGCATGGGCATCAACGTGTCGTCATGATTCACGTGTGTCAAAACACCTGGGATAAAATTACCCAGTGCTTCCGGCACACCAGCTCGCCGGCCCTCCTGGGAGTGCCACAAGGGGTGCGGGACACATCACGACTGGGATGCGGCGGCGGGCTGACCGCAGCAGCAACAGAGCCCCGGGCAGCCTTGGGCCCATGGCGTGGTCCATCTCCCGCCACGAGGCGGCCCTGCCGTAGATTCGCCCGGGGCAGGAGATTGCTTTGGTGTCGGTGCAACCACTTCTGAGACAATCCCCTCATCGAGGCTGGTACTACCCGCGGGCACAGGGCTGTTTCCCGGAGAGTCCACATCAATCGCAGTGTCAGAATCAAATTTGCCCGTTCGAACGGGCAGGAGGCGAAGGCCTTGGGGGGCTTGCTGGATCCCGGCCTTATGCTCAAAAGCCGGGTCCGTGTGCCGAGCAGGTCCGCATTTGGGCTTCGGACCGAAGGCTGGGAATCTCCCTCCTACACGTCCAACTCCTACTCTGGCACGATTGCCAGTCTGCAAGCGCGTGGCTTCGTCCTGGAGCCCTTGCCCAGTGCAGTGTACTGTGTCCCCTTTCAACCGGTGCGGGAAGGGGACGGGGTGGCTAAATACCTCACATATTTGCTAGGGGATACGAAAATTAGGATGCCCCAAGTAGCCTTCAGTGCCCACGCCTGGTCCAGGGGCGGCGTACCGAAGAGGTCCAGCCCAACCTTGCGCTCAACGGGCAACACAATGCTTGCCACCTTCCGTTCCCTGAAGGCTTGCTTGTGTGATTCCATTGCAATGCCAGGGCCATCCATGCTCCACAGGCTGGCTTGTGTGCGCAGGTAGTCGGAGCAATCAAGGAGTCCCCCCGTGGCACAGGCCGCCATTTGGAAGCATGCGCCTATTCCATCGGAGTAATGCGGCGCAACAAAGACCAGCGGCCCCAACCGCCTAGTGAAGGAGGAGGTGGCCCGGGCAAAGCCCGCCTCGCTGTTGAACAGGAAACCGGAGGCTCGACATGTGACGAAAACACAGACGCCATGAGTGGGGCCAGTGGAGCAGGCGGTGGTGATAGCGCTGAAGAAGCGCTTCAGAGCCGCAATGTGTTTCATAAGGAAGGTTCTAAATGCTACAAGACTCCATGTGTTAGGCGGACCAGTCAACGGGAAGTCCTCCGCGGTTTGACATGCCTCCATGAGGCTCATATGGTCTCCTCCGAGCTGCTCCGCCGGAACACTTTTTTGCAGCATGAACTTCATTTGGACCATAATTTTGGCATACTGGGAGACTAACCCAATGGGCGATCCCGGGTACACCTGGTGCCCAAAGGTAAGCACAATGTCCGCCAGCACCCTGCTGAGGTCATAGCTGCTGCCTAACTTGGTTTGGGTCTCATCCTGGGCAGGCACCCGTACCCATCTACAGCTCTCCATCCACCTGTTAGCAGGGCTTCGCAGAGGCCGCTCGAGCAGATGCTGCACCGTGGGACCTGGCGGCATGCGAAGGTAGGGAGTTCGGCTCCTCAGCTCGAAAAAACAGGCCTCCGAATACCGACATACAGGATGGCAGCAATCTCTGGGGGCAGGCGCATGGAGGAGCAAAGCGAGAGATTGACGGCCGGTCCGACAATGGCCTTGAGCCCGGCGGCCTGCATGACTGTCTCTGCTTGTTTCGGCTTGACGATACTCATGCAAAGGATCGACTCTAGCATGGAAACCGGTGAAAATAAGACATCGGAAAAGCCCGAGCTCGAGTTGGGCTTGCCCCAAGAAGGCATCTCGGATTGTCCCTTTTTCCACGGTCCTGCATTTTTGGCCGTCTGTCTGAGCAGTGCCGGGGGCAAGGTGGCCGGCGTATAAAGATCCGCAGGGACCGCATTGAGGCCACAAGTCTTTTGCTCCAACAGTTCAGTGACATAGTGGTAGTTGGGTCGGGACCCTCCTGCGGGCTGTCTGTGATCACCGATCATGACGTCAAGTGCCTGCTTGATGTGCGTCAGAATGGTATTGGAGCCTGGTGTGCCCAGTTGCTGTGCTTCATCTCGGAGCAGCAGCTCCACATCCTTTAGGCGATTAATGAGCAACGAGTAAGGGAAGCTGAGCCGTGCCACGATCGTCCCGTGTGTCGTGGCTACAAGTAGCCCTCGATTCACATCATGCGCGTCGAAGGGGAGCTTGTTAGTCTCCTTCTCCTTGTTGCCCGGTATGCGAGTGATGCGACTGCGAACAAAGTCATTGCTGGCTGACGTTAACCTATCCACCGTCTCGACATAGGCCCGGACCGACTCATTGCCATGAGCAGTGTATAGGGTAAGTCGACTCGTCAGGCAAGCAACAAGCACTCCGAGAAAAGCGCATGAGCGCGTTTTGCCACTGCCAGGCGCTCCAGTAATGAATACGGAGGTGCGATTTGCAGCCCAACCGTAGGAGCAAGCTCCCAGCAGCGCCGCCAGATGGCCATCAGCTCCCCAAAAGGTAGGAAGGTCGCACTGCCATTTGTTCCATCTTCGCACAAAATTCGGGGCTAAGAGTCACTACCCGAATGCCCATCATCCTCGAGCATATGCATGGTCTCCTCATCTAGATGCTCAAGGATGTCAGTAGCAATGCGTTCATCAAGGAAACACGCTACCCACTCCAGGATGATGGCATGATCGTGGGGAACTGCATCAGACACTGCCTGCAAGAGCACATCAACTTTATCAGCG